TCACCTGAGCTAAGAAAATTTATTCAGTTGTTAAGCGAAGCAGTTGCTAAGTGAAACCGTGACTGTGCTTATGATCTTCAGCTTTTCTTTGCTTTACAGACCTGTGAAGGTCATAAATGTGAGGATTGGTCATAAAGTTACTTTTTCATCACCATCGTAACTGCAAATGGTCACTAAATGAGGCAGTTGCTAAACAAGGACTACCCATATATCTTTGTAGTAAACTAAGTGGCCACATGAAACAAACCTGCTGAGCTCTGTTATGGGATTACAGACTCATTTCCCCAACCTCACTGAGCATTTGTGTCAAAGCCAGTAAATGCAACATGATCCTAACTTCATCTGCCTTAGCAGGTCTTGAACTACAGTTTCCAAAAACTAAGATGATGTCATTCTGACTTAGAACTGATTAAAGAAGTTATATCCTTTCCTTTTAAAGCTTAAATGCCAGAAGTAGACTATGAATTACAAACTAAGAAAGATCATGATTTTCAGACAGTCTGAATTGGCAATAATCCATTACTGCAATATCACTGCACAAACAAATCTCTTCTTCAATGAGCAAAAATGTACTCCTCCAAGCAGATGAATTCTGCTAGAGTAAATAGAATTAAGGGTGAGCTCACATTATCAGGTTTTTTCAGTGGGAGCTTCAAATATAATCCAGAAAAGTACTAAGCTTAGTTCTAAGCTTTCATATAGATACGCAATGAGTTGAGGATCAGTGCCTATGAGAGTGGTTCAGAAGTAAATGTTTAAATCAAGGTTAGACACTCCAGGGGACACACACACTGTATGAAGTCCCCAGAACATTTCCAAATCATTCTGCCACAATTTGCCCAAAACACTGCCAGTTAGAAGAGTACAATGTTTTATGTTTGCCCCCCAATATTATTAGGCCAAATAAAAGGCAAAAAAGGTAGTTCATACCACTGTAAAGCTTGATGTGCCCATTTTGTCCACGTATAACCTCCCTGAAAACAGATTAAAAAAAAAAAGGCCCTGCCCTCCCCATTGATGTCACCATGTCACAAGCCATGTCACTTAATAGCTCTCACCTGCCCCCAGGACACAGTCCACAAAAAAAGTTCCTCATTTAAGTCACAAGCTTGGTCTACACTGTCATTCAGGCTATAACACAACCTGAACAGGAGCACTAACGCTCCCATTGTTAGAGTCCTATGTACATTTTCAATCCTTTAAGTTGATTATGGCACATAACTATGGCTTTGGGGGGGATGACTTTATGTGTTCTGCAAGTAATAGCTGGCAGCCCCCTTTGGGCAGCCTAGAAGATTTAAGTAAACCTAGTGACTAGGATTAGAGAACAGTGCTTCAAGATGTGTATATGTTGATTAAGGTAAGATGAATAAAACCTTATTAGTGGTCCTTTGATATAAAGGATTTTGAAGAAGGCAAGGATGACATCAAGTTATTTACTGAATTCATATCCAATCATACTTCCATTATGGAGCTCAAGTCTGTATCCACAGGATACCAGGCAGTCCCTCATCCAGTCAAGGCAATAAATCCAGCAAGGCCAGCAAGGCCCAGCTCTAGATATCACAGATAAGAGGAACCTGTGATTCTTCAGGTTCGTGCAATGGTTTTGGCTGTTTCTCACAGCTAGAGGTAAGCAGGAAGCATTGTAGTGGTATTGTTCCGACAGGTATGGAGAGTGGCTTTCTGTATCTGACATTTGGGAGGAGACCAGTAGCTCTTGTCACACCCACCGCATCCTCCTAATAGAAGCAGGGAAAGAATTCAGGGCATAATAACACAGATGTGACGGCTTTTGTCTTCTGACACTTGGAGACATATACGAACTCTAGCCAGAGGGTGTGGAGTCATAATTGCAGCCTGATGCTCCAACCTGGCATTTAATGATGTATCTATGCCCTGGAACTTATTTTTAATTGCAGAGCAAAGGGAATGTGGTGTACTAGTATCAATACTGCCTGGAAAAGGGCGAGGGTGGGAGTGGGGGAGCCATCTACCAATTCTTTAAACAGTGCTATTTCTCCAGAAATCCTAGCATTTCTTTTTCTCCTCAGAGGGAACAATCTCCGTTTTTTCTTTTTTTATTATTGCAGAACATGATGTGAAGCAGTTTAAGTGCTTTACTTCAGGCAAGGTAAGCTGGTGAGATGCTTTGGAAACTATGTTATTAAAATGTACTCTCTCCTCTCTCCTCTCTCTCTCTTTCTCTTTCTCTCTCTCCCTCCCTCCCTACACACAAACACACACACACACACACACACACACACAGCCAGTTTGGTGTAGTGGTTAAAACACCAGGCTAGAAACCTAGTTCTAGTTCCGCTTTAGGCACAAAGCCAGCTGGGTGGCCTTGGGCCAGTCACTCTCTCCCAGCCTGAAGAAGCAGGCCAGGGGAAACCACTTCTGAAACCTCACCAAGAAAACTGCAGGGATGTGTCCAGGCAGTCACCAGGATTCAACACTGACTTGAAGGCACAATACACACATACACACACACACACTTTTTTCAAGGAAAGCATGAATTCCAAAATATTTTTGCACAAGTACCTTCAGTGCTATATTATTCCATTCTTAGCAGACAAACGACAAGAAAACACTGGCAAAATGGAGAATAATAAGAACTTTGCTGTTCTTATTTATTTCATTATTTATCTGAATTTATTAGCTGCCCAACTCTTAGACATACATGCTTGAGCAAGGCCCTTTGTATTATTTCCACACATACCCTGCCTTTCCACCCATATGGCATTTAAGGCAACAGTCCAAAATAAAATATAAACCATTAGAATCTAATTAAAACAGTAGCTAGAATTATTTTTAATCCAATTCAAAAAGGCCCAGCTGAAAAGGAAAAGCTATCCTGAAGCTGGAGTCAGGGTTGAGAGCAACTCCTGAGGCAGCTTGGAAGATACACAGTAGATTTTTTTTCACTGTTGTTTGTTTGTTTAATAATGATACAATATAATAATATTGCAAACAAACATAAAATAAAATATTGAATTCATATTTTAGCATATTGCTAATATTGATACTCAGTATCAATATCAATCATTGGAAGGATTGCAAGCTCAATCATAATGAAGCTCAAGCTCAGATACTTTGGCCACCTAATGTGAAGAGAGGACTCTTTGGAAAAGACCCTGATGCT